CCCCGCCCCTTGCACACAAGCCTGGAGGACCCACGGAGCCTGCCGGAAGCTGCCCTGCCATAGAGCCTGTGCCCGACGCCACCCAGTCCTGTCCTGCACACATACCGTGGAGGACGTGGGGAAGCCCACAGCTCCCTGGGCCCAGCCCCTCCTACTCTAGCTGCAGCTCCCTGCACCGCTGGGAGCTGGGCTGGGCGGTACAGCCGCGGTGAGCCCGAGCTTTCTTGTCCCCAGCTTGGTCAGCGCTGAGTACCAGGAGGCCCTGCGCAGGGTCACCCCTGTCATCCAACAGCACCAGGAGGCCTTGGTTCCCGGACAGCCCCAACTGAACGTGTGTGACCGGGCGGCCATGGTGAGTATCCCCCAGGCAGGCCTGACCCGTGGGGCTGCAGCCCACATGGCTTGGTCCCTGCTTCGTCTCAGTGTGTATTCTGGGCGCCTGCTGGGCCCTGGGGCAGAGCAGCAACCTGAGGCTGCAGGACTGCAACTAGACCCAGCCTTCTCCCGGAGGCTGCAGGTGTGTGAACAGCCCCTGAGCCCCGCAGGTGCAGAGCTGGCACCCCAGGAGCAGGGTTCAGACTCCCAAAGGGGCACTCTGGGTGCCTCTCCCTCCTCAGTGCCTGGGGGTGCCCCCTGAGGACAGGCAGGAGTCTGGGGACAGGACCAGCCTGTGGCATGGGCTGCCTGTCTGAGGGAGGTGTCCAGCACCCCAGGCCACGCCGCATGCTCTGGGGTCATGGGCCACTTCTCCCTGGCGTAGGCCCCTCGTGCCGGTGGAGCCTGCATTCTGGCCCGGTAACCCCTGGTGTGCTTCCCAGCTTTTCATGCCAAGCCAGTCCCAGCCTCCACGAAGCCACCAAGGAAGCTGTCCCCTTCAGATTGTCAGGGCTCACAGTGGCTAGGACTGAACACGTGAGGTCCTCCATGCTGTTGGGATGACAGGGGACCTGGGGGCCACAGGGCTGTCGGGCTGGGCCTGTGGGTAGCTGGGGGGAGGACCCGCCCACAGCCAGCCTCTCGGGCGTGTCTGTGTGTCCCTCACTCAGCCTGACAAATACACGTGTCCACATGTCCCGGGCACCCAAGGCCAGCCCCAGCCCATCAGCCCTCAGCCGGCTGCCCCGGACACACCAAGTCCCAGCTACTGTAGACACCGAGCCAGTACCTGCGGTTGCCCCAGGAACGGTGTTGACGCCATCCCCACATTCACAAAATGCAAAGCCCACCCGGGCTCTTCAGGAGGGAGACCTGCTCCGGGTCAGGGCAGATCTGGGCAGATCCGGGGAGCTACAGGGCAGCTTTGTCCCTGCAGCTCCAGAGAGCGCCCACAGGGAGCTGGGCCCACAGCCTGCCCAGCTGAGGTGTGCCGGGGAGGTGCCCTGAGAGCAGGAGTTGGGTGCCCAGCGGCGAGGACGTTAGGGCAGGTGACTGCACCCCAGGCCACAGGGCACCCTGGTCAGCTGGCTGGGGGAGTGGCCTCCCTGTCCTGGTGCCCAGGGCCCTTCCTCTAAGGGACACCCTGGCAGAGCTGGGAGGGCCCTGTCTCAGAAGCACTGGGAGGAGCCCTGCTGGCCATCCAAGCCCAGGCCCCCTTCTGGGGTGTGGCCCATGCCGCCAGCAGGTCTGCCCTGCCCCATTTCCAGGTGCTCTGGGGTACAGCGCATCTCCAGGGAGTGGCCACAGCTGCCCTCTCCTGGCCACCACGGGGAATGCCGCGAGGGAGCTGGGATGTGCCCTGCTGGGGAGATGGAGTTTATGCCACCCTCTCGGGCACCCCCACTGCCCCCAGGTCTCCTGCACCCAGTTCTGCTGCTCCAGACTCCAGGCCAGCCAAGGGGCTCAGCGGTGCTTCCAGGGAGGTAGCTGCCTCGTGGGCTGCAGTGCATGCCCGCTGCTGCCCGCTGTCCCGGAAGCTGCGACGCACTTCCTCATCCGCCTGGCTCTGCTCTTGTGGCCGCCCCTCTGCCCACCTTAGCGCAGGGCAAGGTGCTGGCCTGGGCAGGGACGTGGCAGACCGGACTGCGCTGCCCGCAAGAGTCCCTGCCCGGGGCTGGGCGAGCCTGCTCACCCCAGTCACCACACTGTGCTCCCCCAGCACACAGATCTCCCCTGGATAAAGGCCACTGCCGGCCCTCAGCTAACAGCAGGCATGCAGGAGTCCTGTGCCAGGAAGCCCTGCCCAGGCCACCACCGGGAGGGCGCTCAGCCCAGTGGGGTCCGCGGCGTCTCCATGTAGTGGCCCACAGACTGGTCAGGCTGGCAGCGGCCAGCGTCAGGTCTGCGCTCCGTGCTCAGGCCAGACGTGCTCCTAGTAACCACGTGTTCTTTTCCTGAACTTCCACCTCCCAGAACTGGGCGCCCCCTGGCTGTGAAAAATTAGGGAAGTGCCTGACGCCCCCAGAGTCTGTCCCTGAGAAGTGCTTCTGGCCCCACTAGCGCCTCTGTGGCCCCTGCCAAGCCTGGAATCGCCGACAGGCCCACGTTGGAAGCGCCCAGCTGCCCTCAGGTGACCACACCAGCCGTGGGCCCAGGCCCTGGAGCCCTCCTCCCTGTCCTCCCAGCTGGCTGAGGAAAGGACGGCTCCACCACTCCTGCCTGGCTCCACCACTCCTGCCTGGCCCGGGCCAGGGCGCCTTCAGGCCACGCATGGGAGACAGCCTGCCACCTCTGAGCCACACTAGGCAGTGCCTGGCCAAAGGGGCAGTCTCTTAGCAGCACTCCCAGCCCTCCTGGGGTCATGCTCCCTCTCCCTGCACCACCCAGCCTTCCAGGGGCTGAGAGGGGGGTGGGGGCAGGTGGAGACCGAATGGCGCTGCCCCCAGGGGAGTTCCAGCCTCAGCCTCCCTGGTGATCTGACCCCACACACTGCGAGGTCCTGTCTGCTGCAGCCCCCACCCCACCCACAGGGGTTTCCACTCCTGCACAATGCCATGGAAAGCCGAATGTGGGAAATGGGAACCCTTACAGTAAAGGAACACTGAGACATTTCAAAAATGAGATTACTGTTTCGGGGGCCGTGGGCCTAGGTGGGAGGCAGGAGGTGGAATGTTAATGGGGTTCGCAGGCGCCCTCCCCAAGGCTGACGTCTTGAGCGGCCTCCAGACCCCCTCTCAGCCCAGCCTCCCACGTCCCACAGGCGCCCCCTCCCTGGCTGGTCCCTTGCAGGCCTGCGGGCAGCAGCTGTTGAAGTGGAAGGGACGGCCGGCCCTGCCCTGCCCTGCCCCGAGGCCAGGCTGCGTTGCGCGGCCAGAAAGCAGCGCCCCTGTCTCCCCAAAGCCTGGCTGGGTCTGCGTAGACCACGTGTGACATCGACCTTGACTCGCAACGTTGTCCGGCTCGAACGTCCCTGAGCGGGGATGTGTCTGTCCAGGGCACAGGAAAGGAAGCGCGTCTCACGGCCATGGCCGTTGGCACTCGCAGAAACACCGAAGGGCGGGAGCGGGTCGG